TTTGATGGGACATGGGAGAACTCTTCTGCTTATTTTCTTCTTATTGTAAGGAAAATAGCACCTGTCAGGGCAGAGCTGGAACATCAGAGGAAGAATGTATGTATGTAAAGGTGCTTTTCAAATGTGATGGCTTGTCATTTAATTATTATTTAAATGAATCTGCTTTATTTTCAGAGTTGGTTGATCAGAGTGAGTCAGAAGGCCCAGTGATACAAGGTATATTAAGCAGATAAAACAAATTCCTGTTTCATTTTGTTCAGTAACACAGGTCACATAAAATTGTGTGGCCTCAGATGCTTGCATTTTCCTAACTGTAAGGAAAGTCATTTCCACACACACACTTTATTTCTTTGGCTCCTGTGTTTGGAAGCCTGTGTAAGCTCAGTCTGTAGGTCCTAACTGAGAACTGTGGACCATACAGCCCCAGGTCAAGCATAAAATTAGGAATCCTTAGACTACTGGTGGAGAATGGTAGTTTTTAAGTAAGAAGTTTCTTTTAACTTCACCCTTTATGCCATTTGTTTCTAATGGTTGCTATAAGCCAAATTGTGTTGGGTGGAAATGCATGTATTGTGGTTTTAAAAATTCCTTAGAAATGGGTGTTGAGGCTTGCTGCTGTGATTCATAGAAAGGAGTGAAAGGTTTTTATAAAAAAGGAGCCCACAGAAAAAGGGCGAAAAGAAGAGCTTCTTAAGTCCCTGTTAGAGCTGTGTTAATTAAGATTGTTATTTAAGACCCCAGTTGTGTAAGCTAACAACACATTTAAGAAAAGTAAATTTTTGAAAAGTCTAGTCAAGTAATTGTGTGTTTAAACCCAAGGATCTTTGGCTGTTGTTTTATTCTAGACTAGTGCTTTGCGTAGTGTCTGGAAGAGCTTTCTCACCTCTTCCTCCCTGTAGGCTCTTTTAGACAATTGAAAGCCACCTTTGCACAATGTTAAAGATCAAATCTTCATATCTTTCTGTTCAGAATCAACTGAGCCAAGCCAATTGGAGGCTCCTGCAACAGAAGGTAAAGGGGTGTCCAGTTGTCAAACACTGAAGCTCCTTAAGACTTTTATTAACACAAAGGACTACTTGTGTTTTTAAAACTGTGTGGTGGTTTTTGTTCTTTTGTTTCTGGGTGGATGGGGTTTGTAGTTCATGCCCAGAACCACTGTGTTCAGAAATGACTCATGGGTTCTTGTGCTCCATGTAAGCACATAAAGTATGAGATGTTCATTACTTTGAAAGCATAAGTAACAAACTTCAGCACTTACTGCTGGAGAACATTGTTGTTTCTGAAAATGTTACTATTTTCAGTATCTTGTAATTCCTATTAAATCGTGAGCAAATACTTTGGTGTGGGTGGATTTATAACTGAGCAGATTTGTATTAACAGTGCAAGTAAATCGCTGTTTACTTTTTCGTTTTTCTTTTTCTTGACAGAAATAAAGGAGGCCGATGGAAGCTCTCAGATCAAGCAAGAACCAGACCCTACGTGGTAGAGCTCTTCCCTCCTAGGGTAAGTCAGCTCCTGTATCCCAGATACTGTGCAGTGTCTGTGTGAACTCAGCTGCCTATTCATAAGCTAATGTGTTTTCCCTGGTTCAGCCCCAAAAATGGTAGCCCCGCCTTCAGGGTATGTAAGGGCCAGTAAGCCACACTGCAGGGCTTGACCTAGAAGATTTAAGCAGAGAGAGTTTCTTTGGGTCAGTACACGTCTGTCTGTCAAAGCTGTAAAAGCACTTTGCCTTAAAAGGTAGATGTTTCGTTTTTAACCTGTTGTAAGGGTAAATAAATCTTGTCCTCAACACTGGAATTCACTGTGAGTTAGTGTCACTAGACTGACTTTTTTCCCTAATCTTGGACAGTAGTATTGACAGAGTCTGGGCATCTTACATTGTTAAATTACAAGCCTGAACCCATTCTTCCAAACTTTTTAAATTTGTTCAGGTCATTAACAGGAAGGGCAGCTCTGGACAGGAAGTGGCAGACTGGGTCCTCCTGTCGTATTGCACCTCACTAAGCCCGAGCTGTTGGATGTTACGTGATAATAATGGGCTAAGATTGATAATAGCAGGCTCTGAAGTGTATCCAACGATGCATTTTCCTATACAGAGACTTGTTTTGGTCATGGAATTGGCCATATTGTGTCAGTTCCTGGATTTAAGTGCTGATCAGGTTGTGGTGTTTTGGGAACGTTGAATTCCTGTAATCAGACTCTAATGTGTTCTCTTGCTTGTTTATTTTCTCTCCTACTTCAGCCTAAAGCTTCAGCGGGTGAGAAGAGCCTTTCAGACCTGTTACTCCCCAGCTGTGTAATATACTTGTATAACAGAAATACCTTCTATACAAACCTTTTTTTCTACTTTTAGATAGAAATGTCTACTTTTTCAGCAGTTCTGTGAATTGAATTAAAGAGCAGAGTGACTGTAGATTTGGAATGGCTGGTTTCCTTTGGAATGTATTATAAGGATTTTACAGCAATGCTGGAAAAATGACAGGGAAATTGACAGGGATGAATCTCATCAGATTTTTTACGTATTCAGCAGAGCCTGCAGCTATGGTGTTTATTTTCCAGTCAAGTGAAGATATCTCCTACTGGAACATCTCAACTTCTGCAGTGAAGAAAACATCTGTGATAGTTCAGTTCTTTAGTTTTTCTATTTGAAAAATCATTTAAATGATCCTTTGGTTCACGGCTCTCCTTAATGATTGAGTGAACAGTTAGTATCTGTATATTTGACTAAACCTTTTCCTAAGCTGTCTATCATGGTTCATATGTTTTTTAACCTAATTAAAAAAAACCCAACCATCTGGATCACCTAACAGCCAGTAAGAGGTTAGTATCTCAGCTTGTGGCTTATAGATGGAATACAGAGAACCTCTTCCACATTTGCTTTTCATCCAAATAAAGTGCATGGTGTCCCAGAAGTTTAAGACCAGGTATGAGTGTTTGGGCTGGGTAATGACACTAAAGCCTCACTGTCATGTAACCTAGTGTGGGGTGGGTTTCTTTGAACACTGCTCTGGCCTGGATCAGACTCAAGGGGGTTTCATTGCCTTCATTATTTTATAATTCTACTTGTAACATTGAGGCTCCAGTGTGGGGAAGTGGGGAGGGTCAGTATGCTCTGCACCCCCTAATACTCTGCACCATTTGCAGGAGAGTCTCACATGTGTCGAGAGTTCACAAACAATAAGAGTTGTAAAATACCAGCTATATGAGAAGCTAGAGTATGTGATGGCATAGAGTTTTCATTAGCTTTATCACAATATTCACAATGGAGAATTATATTACATGGTAGCAGAAACAGGCATTTTTATGTGTTGCTTATATTTTACCTCAAGTTAAATTGTAGATATAGGGTAATAAATAAAATCCATCCATGCCTTTCACACACTAATTCATTTCTTTCTAAGGTGTTTTCATGATTATGTCTGGGGAAATTGTGGGTGGCTTGGTGGCAGGTGCAATGAAAGTGAGGGTCAGGCTGGCACTGTCCAGAGGCTCAGTTCTTGGTGATGGTGCTTCTGAGACCACTGCCTCTTCTAGTCTCAGCTGGACCTGCAGCCCTGACTTCTTACTGTGACGTGCCCACTGTATGCAGTGTAGGCACGGTCCTGGGGCTGGAATAACTTCCTGAGGCAGAGCATGTACATCAGCTCTCCCACATAAAAACCCTGCACTGGCTCCAGATTCTTCTTCTCTCAGCACAGCCCTCTGCCTGTGCTTTACCAAACTACCAGTGTGCGCTCAGGGGAAGCAAACTGATGTGGCCACCAGCTGGCGGCCCTTAGGGAGAGTCAGCAGCTACCACAGAACCTCCTGGTCTATGTAGAGTGGTGGTAAAATGTGTGTGCAGCCGCACTGTCATCGCTGCACGCCCATCCCAGCCACCAGAACATTTTCCACCCAGAGGCTGCTTTCAGAAGGAACTAAGTTCCCACATACATAACTCCTTAACAAAAGTTGGGTGGGATCGCAGACTTGCCAAGGAGATGTGTTTTCCTATCCAGTGTAAATATGTATATACCCAGTATAGAAATTCTGTATGTATGCATATGCATATTTTTTTATATACTGTTAGCTTTTTTTTTAATGTTCTCACATTCTGCCAAATCAGTTTGTTTTGTGGGCAACAGTCCCCACCATCCTCCTGATGGTGACTTTCTAAAGGTTTAAGGAATATTGTCCTGTCCCCTCTGTCTTTCCTGAACTGAGCAGGCTTATTAATTAGTTCCTTCAAGAAATGTTGACCCTGGGGCAAGGGGGAGCTGTTGCTGTTTCGTCTGTCTGCTGGAAGAACATGCAGGTGGAATAAGTCATTCTTTCTTAGTCACTGTTGTCCCCTGAAGCTTTTAATGCGTCAGTCTCTGCTTCCCGGTCAGGCATCTCATAGTAAAGCATCCCTGAGAACATCCTGCTGCCTCACAAGGACGGCCTTGCCAGAGCGCCTCCTCAGCTGCCGTGGCAAAATCAGGTCTGGTGTTCAGCACCATGGGCTTGTTTAAAAATGGACGGCAGTGTCGCTCTGGCCAATTCAAAGCCCAGGAGTAGCCCATACACCGAAGGCTTAAGGTGCATGTGCTTATGAATAGGCAGCACTTTTGTAAATGAAACAGTTGATAAGTAGAAGTGGAGACTGAACTGAAAACAATAGGTCTCATCAGTAATTCTAATGTGTTTGGTGTTACTGAAATGTTCTGATTTTGTAGTAGAGTGATTACGTGGGCTTTGTGACCAAATCCAAGCTCTACTTCTGGACAGCTGTGTCTTAAGGGAATTTCCTGCAGAAAACTAGTAAAACCAGAGAAATGTCTGCATCACAGGATGGGGGTCAATTCCATAAGTGGAGTTGGGCCAAGTGGTAACCCCTGTTCCAAGTGCTGGGCCCTCAGTGGGGAGAGAGCTTCATCCTGGGAGCAGCTTCCGCCCTGGGCCCCCGAGCCACTGAGGATGGGCCTTGTGAGTCTTGACCTGCTCCGCCCCGCCTCTCAGGATCCATTACTATATGTCTCCCTGCTCCCTTACTTGAGGTTTACATGTTCGGGTATGTTCTCATCCTTCTGGAATAGAACTTTATGTTGATTACTGTGAATTTGTTATTTTGATGGGACATGGGAGAACTCTTCTGCTTATTTTCTTCTTATCGTAAGGAAAATAGCACCTGTCAGGGCAGAGCTGGAACATCAGAGGAAGAATGTATGTATGTAAAGGTGCTTTTCAAATGTGATGGCTTGTCATTTAATTATTATTTAAATGAATCTGCTTTATTTTCAGAGTTGGTTGATCAGAGTGAGTCAGAAGGCCCAGTGATACAAGGTATATTAAGCAGATAAAACAAATTCCTGTTTCATTTTGTTCAGTAACACAGGTCACATAAAATTGTGTGGCCTCAGATGCTTGCATTTTCCTAACTGTAAGGAAAGTCATTTCCACACACACACTTTATTTCTTTGGCTCCTGTGTTTGGAAGCCTGTGTAAGCTCAGTCTGTAGGTCCTAACTGAGAACTGTGGACCATACAGCCCCAGGTCAAGCATAAAATTAGGAATCCTTAGACTACTGGTGGAGAATGGTAGTTTTTAAGTAAGAAGTTTCTTTTAACTTCACCCTTTATGCCATTTGTTTCTAATGGTTGCTATAAGCCAAATTGTGTTGGGTGGAAATGCATGTATTGTGGTTTTAAAAATTCCTTAGAAATGGGTGTTGAGGCTTGCTGCTGTGATTCATAGAAAGGAGTGAAAGGTTTTTATAAAAAAGGAGCCCACAGAAAAAGGGCGAAAAGAAGAGCTTCTTAAGTCCCTGTTAGAGCTGTGTTAATTAAGATTGTTATTTAAGACCCCAGTTGTGTAAGCTAACAACACATTTAAGAAAAGTAAATTTTTGAAAAGTCTAGTCAAGTAATTGTGTGTTTAAACCCAAGGATCTTTGGCTGTTGTTTTATTCTAGACTAGTGCTTTGCGTAGTGTCTGGAAGAGCTTTCTCACCTCTTCCTCCCTGTAGGCTCTTTTAGACAATTGAAAGCCACCTTTGCACAATGTTAAAGATCAAATCTTCATATCTTTCTGTTCAGAATCAACTGAGCCAAGCCAATTGGAGGCTCCTGCAACAGAAGGTAAAGGGGTGTCCAGTTGTCAAACACTGAAGCTCCTTAAGACTTTTATTAACACAAAGGACTACTTGTGTTTTTAAAACTGTGTGGTGGTTTTTGTTCTTTTGTTTCTGGGTGGATGGGGTTTGTAGTTCATGCCCAGAACCACTGTGTTCAGAAATGACTCATGGGTTCTTGTGCTCCATGTAAGCACATAAAGTATGAGATGTTCATTACTTTGAAAGCATAAGTAACAAACTTCAGCACTTACTGCTGGAGAACATTGTTGTTTCTGAAAATGTTACTATTTTCAGTATCTTGTAATTCCTATTAAATCGTGAGCAAATACTTTGGTGTGGGTGGATTTATAACTGAGCAGATTTGTATTAACAGTGCAAGTAAATCGCTGTTTACTTTTTCGTTTTTCTTTTTCTTGACAGAAATAAAGGAGGCCGATGGAAGCTCTCAGATCAAGCAAGAACCAGACCCTACGTGGTAGAGCTCTTCCCTCCTAGGGTAAGTCAGCTCCTGTATCCCAGATACTGTGCAGTGTCTGTGTGAACTCAGCTGCCTATTCATAAGCTAATGTGTTTTCCCTGGTTCAGCCCCAAAAATGGTAGCCCCGCCTTCAGGGTATGTAAGGGCCAGTAAGCCACACTGCAGGGCTTGACCTAGAAGATTTAAGCAGAGAGAGTTTCTTTGGGTCAGTACACGTCTGTCTGTCAAAGCTGTAAAAGCACTTTGCCTTAAAAGGTAGATGTTTCGTTTTTAACCTGTTGTAAGGGTAAATAAATCTTGTCCTCAACACTGGAATTCACTGTGAGTTAGTGTCACTAGACTGACTTTTTTCCCTAATCTTGGACAGTAGTATTGACAGAGTCTGGGCATCTTACATTGTTAAATTACAAGCCTGAACCCATTCTTCCAAACTTTTTAAATTTGTTCAGGTCATTAACAGGAAGGGCAGCTCTGGACAGGAAGTGGCAGACTGGGTCCTCCTGTCGTATTGCACCTCACTAAGCCCGAGCTGTTGGATGTTACGTGATAATAATGGGCTAAGATTGATAATAGCAGGCTCTGAAGTGTATCCAACGATGCATTTTCCTATACAGAGACTTGTTTTGGTCATGGAATTGGCCATATTGTGTCAGTTCCTGGATTTAAGTGCTGATCAGGTTGTGGTGTTTTGGGAACGTTGAATTCCTGTAATCAGACTCTAATGTGTTCTCTTGCTTGTTTATTTTCTCTCCTACTTCAGCCTAAAGCTTCAGCGGGTGAGAAGAGCCTTTCAGACCTGTTACTCCCCAGCTGTGTAATATACTTGTATAACAGAAATACCTTCTATACAAACCTTTTTTTCTACTTTTAGATAGAAATGTCTACTTTTTCAGCAGTTCTGTGAATTGAATTAAAGAGCAGAGTGACTGTAGATTTGGAATGGCTGGTTTCCTTTGGAATGTATTATAAGGATTTTACAGCAATGCTGGAAAAATGACAGGGAAATTGACAGGGATGAATCTCATCAGATTTTTTACGTATTCAGCAGAGCCTGCAGCTATGGTGTTTATTTTCCAGTCAAGTGAAGATATCTCCTACTGGAACATCTCAACTTCTGCAGTGAAGAAAACATCTGTGATAGTTCAGTTCTTTAGTTTTTCTATTTGAAAAATCATTTAAATGATCCTTTGGTTCACGGCTCTCCTTAATGATTGAGTGAACAGTTAGTATCTGTATATTTGACTAAACCTTTTCCTAAGCTGTCTATCATGGTTCATATGTTTTTTAACCTAATTAAAAAAAACCCAACCATCTGGATCACCTAACAGCCAGTAAGAGGTTAGTATCTCAGCTTGTGGCTTATAGATGGAATACAGAGAACCTCTTCCACATTTGCTTTTCATCCAAATAAAGTGCATGGTGTCCCAGAAGTTTAAGACCAGGTATGAGTGTTTGGGCTGGGTAATGACACTAAAGCCTCACTGTCATGTAACCTAGTGTGGGGTGGGTTTCTTTGAACACTGCTCTGGCCTGGATCAGACTCAAGGGGGTTTCATTGCCTTCATTATTTTATAATTCTACTTGTAACATTGAGGCTCCAGTGTGGGGAAGTGGGGAGGGTCAGTATGCTCTGCACCCCCTAATACTCTGCACCATTTGCAGGAGAGTCTCACATGTGTCGAGAGTTCACAAACAATAAGAGTTGTAAAATACCAGCTATATGAGAAGCTAGAGTATGTGATGGCATAGAGTTTTCATTAGCTTTATCACAATATTCACAATGGAGAATTATATTACATGGTAGCAGAAACAGGCATTTTTATGTGTTGCTTATATTTTACCTCAAGTTAAATTGTAGATATAGGGTAATAAATAAAATCCATCCATGCCTTTCACACACTAATTCATTTCTTTCTAAGGTGTTTTCATGATTATGTCTGGGGAAATTGTGGGTGGCTTGGTGGCAGGTGCAATGAAAGTGAGGGTCAGGCTGGCACTGTCCAGAGGCTCAGTTCTTGGTGATGGTGCTTCTGAGACCACTGCCTCTTCTAGTCTCAGCTGGACCTGCAGCCCTGACTTCTTACTGTGACGTGCCCACTGTATGCAGTGTAGGCACGGTCCTGGGGCTGGAATAACTTCCTGAGGCAGAGCATGTACATCAGCTCTCCCACATAAAAACCCTGCACTGGCTCCAGATTCTTCTTCTCTCAGCACAGCCCTCTGCCTGTGCTTTACCAAACTACCAGTGTGCGCTCAGGGGAAGCAAACTGATGTGGCCACCAGCTGGCGGCCCTTAGGGAGAGTCAGCAGCTACCACAGAACCTCCTGGTCTATGTAGAGTGGTGGTAAAATGTGTGTGCAGCCGCACTGTCATCGCTGCACGCCCATCCCAGCCACCAGAACATTTTCCACCCAGAGGCTGCTTTCAGAAGGAACTAAGTTCCCACATACATAACTCCTTAACAAAAGTTGGGTGGGATCGCAGACTTGCCAAGGAGATGTGTTTTCCTATCCAGTGTAAATATGTATATACCCAGTATAGAAATTCTGTATGTATGCATATGCATATTTTTTTATATACTGTTAGCTTTTTTTTTAATGTTCTCACATTCTGCCAAATCAGTTTGTTTTGTGGGCAACAGTCCCCACCATCCTCCTGATGGTGACTTTCTAAAGGTTTAAGGAATATTGTCCTGTCCCCTCTGTCTTTCCTGAACTGAGCAGGCTTATTAATTAGTTCCTTCAAGAAATGTTGACCCTGGGGCAAGGGGGAGCTGTTGCTGTTTCGTCTGTCTGCTGGAAGAACATGCAGGTGGAATAAGTCATTCTTTCTTAGTCACTGTTGTCCCCTGAAGCTTTTAATGCGTCAGTCTCTGCTTCCCGGTCAGGCATCTCATAGTAAAGCATCCCTGAGAACATCCTGCTGCCTCACAAGGACGGCCTTGCCAGAGCGCCTCCTCAGCTGCCGTGGCAAAATCAGGTCTGGTGTTCAGCACCATGGGCTTGTTTAAAAATGGACGGCAGTGTCGCTCTGGCCAATTCAAAGCCCAGGAGTAGCCCATACACCGAAGGCTTAAGGTGCATGTGCTTATGAATAGGCAGCACTTTTGTAAATGAAACAGTTGATAAGTAGAAGTGGAGACTGAACTGAAAACAATAGGTCTCATCAGTAATTCTAATGTGTTTGGTGTTACTGAAATGTTCTGATTTTGTAGTAGAGTGATTACGTGGGCTTTGTGACCAAATCCAAGCTCTACTTCTGGACAGCTGTGTCTTAAGGGAATTTCCTGCAGAAAACTAGTAAAACCAGAGAAATGTCTGCATCACAGGATGGGGGGCAATTCCATAAGTGGAGTTGGGCCAAGTGGTAACCCCTGTTCCAAGTGCTGGGCCCTCAGTGGGGAGAGAGCTTCATCCTGGGAGCAGCTTCCGCCCTGGGCCCCCGAGCCACTGAGGATGGGCCTTGTGAGTCTTGACCTGCTCCGCCCCGCCTCTCAGGATCCATGGATGCCCAGAAGCTTGCCCTGGTAGTCAGCACGGCATAGGAGACCTTATCTTCATGTTGGTTTAAACCATCCGTGACATGAAAGGGGCAGCACATGTGGCCTGTGCTCTGAGTGCCGAGGTGAGGGTGTGGCTTCATAGGTGAGTGAAGGCAGACTCCAGTGGTTGCTCTACCTTTCTCCAAGACAACAGGCAGGGCTTGAGCCCAGATGTGAAGTCCTCTGTGCCCCATGACTGCTGGCTACAATGGCAGCCAGTTCCCACTTGAAGTAGGTTGGTTATTCTGTGCATCTCTTCTGACCTCATGTTTCACTGGAGAGGGAGACTGAGTGACTAGACCATTTCAGTTTCTGCTTAACACCCCAAACCCTGGTCTTTTAAAGTCAAGGGACTTGGTTGGCTGAATCATTAGTAGACAGTTAATTAGCACCCAACATCAGGCATCTCTGGAAGTGCACCACCTGGTACCTTCCTGAACGGAGGCCCTGCTTTCTGGACTTGGATGTATTTAAAGACGTGTTCTCCTAGGGCCTTGGTTTCCCTAAGGTGGGGAAGTAGAAAGGGATAGGGTTGTAGGGTAGGTGTGACTATAGGCCACTCTTTCATGCAGCAACTCCATTTGTGCTTCTCTGAGTATTAGGAGGCCAGTAGGAGGAGCACAGATGGGGGGCTGTTCATCCTGTTTAGACCCCCCAAGGAGTTGCTTTCCCCAGCCTTTGGTTTAGTTCTGTTTCACTCTAGTGTGTGATGAGGGGTAACCAGCTTTTTGTACTTATCCTCATGGCTGCCAGCCGCCCTGGCTCAAAACTTGAGATTTGAAACCTCGTTACAGAAACCACATGTCATAGGGATGTCGTGGACTGCTGACAAGATAATGGTGGGCCTAACTTGGCTGCACCAGCGAGGCTCCTTCACCCTGGGAACTGGGTGAAAAAACAAGGGTTGACTGATTAATGGTTTCCCCAGCCTCCCTGTTACGGTGAAAAATGGTGGTGTGTGTCACCTTACCTCCCCCTCCTTCCCCATCCCAGCCCCCACCTCTGCCCACCTGTGGTTTTATTTTGAGGAAGTACCAAGAAAGTTAGCACTGAAAGCAAGCTATGATACAACCCCCATTTGTAAATGTTTTTCCTGCCAGGCTTCCTTCTCATAAGACAGAGTAGATTGTAGATGGTGGTAGGTAGAGCAGGTTGATGAGGTATTTTGTAGCGTCACCTTCATGCGTGGTCTCAAGGCACTACCCATAAAGCCTGCCAGTGCCTCGTCTGTGAAGTGGTACTGACCCTTGTCAAAGACCGTGCTCAAGAGGACCTGCTTCTGTGAAAACAAGCAGGTAGACACAGCCAGAGGAGGCAGCACAGGAGCAGGTCTAAACATTGCCACCTGCCAGGAGCTAGGTAAATCCAGAAAGGGTTTGTGGAATTCCTGCTGCAATTTTTGACTAGAAACCATCTCCCTACGATGACAGTCTAGACTCTTGAGGAAAAAATCCTCGCTGTGAGCAAGTGTAGGCTTCCAGAAAGGCAAGATTGGAGCCATAGAAGTGTTGGCCTTTTAGTCCTCTCAGGCCCAGAGGCTGCGTCCTTAGTCCTGGTGTTCAGTGCAGCCCGGGGATCTGCGGGGCGGCCTGACCAGCCGCTGCGCATCTGTGCGTGGCCTCCCCTAACCCTTTCAGACCTGTCTGGCTTTACTGTCCTGTGTCCCATTTGAAGTGGCATGGGTACTAAGGCCTTGGCAAGGCCTTAGGTGACTTCATCACGCTGCCAGCTGACTTCCCTGCTCTCTGCCTCATGACTGGAGAGGTGAAAGTGGCAGCCCAGTCACCACAAAACCCCCTTGGCGGCAGCTTGCTGCTAGGTTTATTCTTGTGTTTTGTTGATGAGCTCCAAATAACTTACCACATGACACATCTGGAACCCCGCAGCAAGGAAGAGTCAGGAAGTGGGTTTGGAGGAGTGGGGGTGGGCAACAGGCCAAGCCAGGCCCTGCAGTGTGGAGGTGTTGGCTCCTGGCTGCAGAGTGGAGCTGGTTTGCTGAGTCTCCATCCATCAGACCAGTATTTGCTGGGCCCACTGGGTGCCTGGGAGCCACTTGTGCTCATGACTCAGGTGGCAAATCCTTGGCTGCTGTCCTCAGCCTGATTTTGTCCAGGAAAACCTACAGCCCACCGCCAAGGCCCTTCCCCTGGGTTCCACCCCAAGCCCCAGGCAGAGCTCTCCTGGCTCTAGACCCAGAGGTGGCCTTGCATGCTCTCCCGCCCGGTTCCGTGACAGCTCCCAACAGAACAGGACTGCCCTGTGGTCCAAGCCAAGCCTCCGAACCAGATATCCTCGCAGCCTGGAGTGCCTGCTCTCTCATTCATGGGATGTCACCATCTTTCAAGACCCATCTTCAGCAGCCAGCCCAGCAGTTCTCCTTTCCACCCCTGTGGCCCACCTCAGGGACTGTGGCTCTCAGCTCAGGATAACCAACGTCTGCCAGGCTAAGCACTGCAACCTCACCTCACGACAGCCCACGAAAGGGCAATGCCATCTTACAGATGAAAGAACAGGCATGGAGTGTGAGTTTGACAAAGGCACAACTAGAAAGGGTCAGAGTTAAAAGCCAGTCTGTGTGAATCCAGTTTCATGCCACACCACTGCCTGTGGTGGTATGTGGTCTGCAGAACAAAGGCTCTGTCTGACGCCTTGAATGTCTCCCTGATCCCTGGGCCAAACACAGGAGTTCCCAGGGGTGTGATTCAGGTGTCTGAGCCTGGCTCCTGTGTGCAGGCGCGTGGCTCCCTTAGGATGAAGCCTCAGAGTTCATCCCTGGCCTGGCCAGAGCCCATTCCTGGTCTGCTTTGCTGAAAAAGGAAGACTCCTGGGGTCCCTTGGGAACCAGAGAGCTGGTGAGCAGCCTGCATTTCTGTGCAGACACACCTACTTGCCATCAGAGCTGCAGCGTCCCAGCCTGGCTGGGGATCCAGGCTGTCCTCACTGGAGCAGGGGCAGCAGGACCTCGAGTGAGACTTGGGAAGGAGGGCTCTGCCCCAGCCTCAGACTCTGAGGCCCCACACCACCTCCCTCAGGCCTCAGTGCAGGGGGTTTCCTGGCAGAGCCACCTGCCAGGCTGGCCTGTTGGGAAAGGCCTGAGGGTGGAGATCCTCAAGGCCAGACTGGGAAGCCCTGCTAACCTTCCAGTCTGACCTGATTTGAGAATCTCCCTCTTTTGGGTTGTTAATGTGGGCTGACTTCTCCCTTGTAGATCCCATCATCATCCACCCCCATATTGTTCAAGGGCCAGGCCCAGTGGTTGAGAGCATGGGCTTGGGCTCCAGACAGCCTGGGTTCAAATCCCAGCTCTTAATAGCAGCCCATGTACCTGTGCCTCAGTTTTCCTATCTTTAAAGTGGTGAAAGTACCCACTGATAGCCTCATGGCAGGGATAAGATGTGGTCATAAATGCCCGGTACTCCCCACCTGGGGCAAGTCCTTCCTGTTCTCACTCAATGGGAAGTGCTTGGGAAGACTGGTATTGTTCTAATTCCCAGCTGACAGTTATGAAGTAATCTACTTTATGATCAATATAATTTTATAATAGTTACACTTTACATATTTCTGCAGTTTCTCAAGTATTTCAACAATAAAAGTTCTAAAACATTTTTAAATTTGTATTCCTCACCCCAAACAAAATCTTTTCTCCATTACCTCCTACCTTCACTCTTCGTAACTTTTTTAAAAAACAACTTGGCCACTTGCTTGTTTCATCCATGCATTACAGTAAATCCTATCTCATCCTGACAAAAGGCTATGAGCCTGTTTACAGGGGTCAGTACAAGGTAAAACACAAGTTCCTATCCCTTCACGCTTTGGACGCCTCTTCTCTGCCGTGTGCCCTGCAAGGAGCCAGGCCAGGGGTAGGGAGGCCACAGGAGGGAAGCGGGAAGGTGGCAGCTGACAGCTCTGCCGCTCAGTTGTGGCTGGTGTCTGCAGGACAGGGCAGCCTGGTGAGGCAGTTATGCAAGAGTGGAAAGGCCACCAGAATAAAGGAAGGAAGTGCCAAGGGCCACTGGTCAGCGCCCCAAGGCGGTGTCCTTGCAGCAAGCCCCACCGGCTGACTTCCTGCCCTGCCCTCCCCTTGCTGGGCCTAGGTGAGCAGCGCCACTGAGTCTGGAGTCTGTGCAGGGACCTCAAGGCAGTTCTTTGGGGGATGGAGAAGCCGCAGACAGGTTGAATGTCCAGGGAGGGGACATTTCATGAATCACTGAAGGACAGCCACTCAGCAGGAAGCCAAGTACCCTGTGCTGTCAGGGGCCGCCTACCACGTGGAGTCCAGTAAGGACGGCCAGACATCACATGATCCCACTCCATTTGCTCTTTGTTTTCAAATTTGTATCCAAGCAAAGCACGTCCACAGAAGAGAGCAAGCACAGATCTTACGTGCCAGGGGCTGGGTTAATTTTTGGAAGGTGAGCACCCTTGTGGAAGTAGCATCCTTATCAAGAAAGGCCGCCTTCACCAGCACCTCCTGTCCACCTGGTCACTCCTGGGCCCCATCCCACCTACCCCCACCCCAGAGGTCACCTAGACTTCCAACGCCATGGGCTGGCTTCGGTAGTCTTGATCTTGTACGATGGCCTCCTGCAGAAGCAGAAGGCATGCTGTACCTGCCGTCTCCATGTTGCGTCTGGAGGGTTCATGTATGTTGTGTGCTGGGTAGTTGGACCCTTCTGTGTAGGAAGATCTGGTAAGAAATGGAGATGACCCAAGAAAAACTTGCAAAGCTGGTCACACCCAGGGCTGGTGACCTCCAGGTGAGAGCGATGGGACTAGAAGGGAACCTGGCAAGCAAATCTTTCAGAGCAGAGGGAATGGCCTCTGCACTTTTTAGATGGCAAGACCAGAAATAAGCACCAACCTGACTCGTCATGATACCAGCCATGAAGCAGCTTGTCTCTGCTTCCCTCCACCAGACACCAACCCTGGACCTGCTCCCCGCAGAGACCAGGGGCATCCAATGGCTCTCAGAGTGTGCTCGGAGCTCCTGGCCTTTGCCACCAGCTCTCAATCTTGGAGTCTGTGATTGAGACCACATGCTGGCCCCACGCACCTGAGCCTGCAGCCAGACTAAGTCTGAGGCCACCTGTCCTGTGATCTTGGGCCAGCTCTGTAACCTCTGAACCTCCCAGGCCCCATCTGCCCGGCCAAAGCCCCAGGCTTTAGTGAGCCACACCCCAGCCTCTCTGCTCCCCACAAGCTGCTCTACTCTTTGCCCCTTCGACCCAAACCCCCTTCTCAGCAGAGCCTGTGGTCCCAGGAGGAGCCGAGTCAGCTCTGAGGGTCTTTTGGTCAGAATTTGAACTCAGGTCCCACTGGCACTCAGCTACACTCACACACCCGGATGTGCCCACTGCTTTTACACACTCATGTGGAAGCATTCATTCCTCATTCACTCACTCCATTCACTCATTTGCTCACTTACTATCCCGATGTTAATGGCGGCCCACTGCGTGCCAGGCACCAGTCCCAGGGGTGGGGGCCAGAGCCCTTGTCAAAACAAGTCAAGCCCTTGTTCTCATGGGGTTCACACTCTGGTAAGGAAAGAATTGTAAAAAAGTGAAATAGGTAATAGGTCAGGTGTGATAAGTACTCTAGAGGAAAACAGGAAAGGAGTGTGGGGGAAGCATGAAGTTTTGCAATTTTATGTGAAGTTACCAAGGGAAGCCTCTCAGAGGAGGTGCCATTAGAGCAGAAACCTGGAGAAAACGAAGGTGGGAGGTACAGATCCATAGTCCAGGTGGCACTGCAGGTGCAAAGGCCCTGAGGTGGGAGTAGCTTGGTATGTTCCTGTAACAGCAGAGGCCAATGTGCTGGGCCCAGGGGAGGCTGTGAGAAGAGGGTGGGAGATGGGCACCCCCACCGTTGGGCTTGTGGGCCCACGGGGGACAGTAGGTCCCCACACACGTGCATGCGTGTTGTCGCCCACATCCACACCACAGGTGTCTGAGAAATCCCAGAAACTGAAAGCAGAAACAAAGCCGTTGCTTGCCCTCCCTGCCCCCTCCTGCCTCCAGCCCCACTGCGACAGAAGTGACTTCCTCTTTCCAGCCCATTTAAGGCCCCGCCGGGAGCGCCCTGCAGCAGCGAAGGCGGTGCACAGCCATGGGGGACTCCTTTATCCGCCACATCGCCCTCCTGGGCTTCGAGAAGCGCTTCGTCCCCAGCCAGCACTACGTGAGTAGCCGGAATGTGCTGTCACCGCGCTCCCCTGGCGGCGGACGGCTGGGGACGGTGTCGTGGCTGATGACACCACGTCCCCAGGCCTCAGTCTGCCTGTCTGGGAGCGCAGTGGCCATGGGCCCCTTAACAGATGCACTCCTGGTACCTTGTCCCTTGCCAGGAGCCCAGTCCGCTCCCCGGCCCGTCCCTGCACCCCGAGCTCGTGTCCAGGGCACGCTCCTCTGCGCAGCCCTCCTGACCACCCAGCCGCCAGGGAGCGGTCCTTGGGGGTCCTTACAGCCTAGCCTTTCCAGCCCGGTGACACCCACACAGAGGCCACAAAAGCCTCCCTTCCTGCCCTGGAGGCCAGGGAAGTGTCTGCCCAGACATGGCCACCCCACCACAGGGTCCCCAAGGCCAGAAGAAGCCAGGAGCAGCTCTTAGCAAATGTGGGCTACTTGTGGAGTACGTTTAGTATTACTGGCTAAAACCTTTCTTCATTCTCTTAACTTTCACTATTGAACTAATTTCAGATTTACAGAAAGGTTGACCCCCAAAAGACCAGTAATTCCAATATTCCTTCACCCATATCCTCTCTCCAGCTCCCTCCCTCCCCATCTCTCCTTCTTTGAATATATATTTTTTAATCATTTGAGAGTAAGTAGAAGACACTGTGTTACGTTACCTCTAAATACCACCCTGTGAATCTCTTGCGTGTTTTAAGAACGCTCTCTTACATGACGACAGCAGCCGAGTCCAAATCAGAAAATTAACATTGATGAAACACTCATGTCCAACACAAAGACTGTACCCACGGTCTCACCCATTGTCTTCCTTCCTCTGCAGGAAAAATGTTTCAGGTCCACAATCCCATCCGGGACCATGTGTTGCATTTCACTGTTGGCCTCTTAGCCTTCTTTAAACTGGACCAATCTTAATCAGTCTTTCTTTGTGCTTTTCAACTTTGACGTTTTGAAGAGACAGGGCCAGTTATTTTGTAGAATGTCCCTCGATCTGGGTTTGTCTGATATTTCTCCACTGGAGTCAGGTTCTGCATCGGTGACAGGAACACCCCAGAAGACACTGTTCTTCTCATTGATCCGATCGGGTGGCAGGTGATTTTGACTCGTTCCCATATTGATGATGTTAACTTCGGTCACCAAGTCCTGGATGTGACCTGGACATGTGTCCCTACTGCAAAGCTAACTATTTTTCCCTTTTTAAAATAATAACTAACCTGTGGGGAGACTGAAACTATGAGAATATCCTGTGCCTTATAGTACACTGAAGACTCTTGCCAGAATCAAATTACAGTAAGGATTGCCAAATGGTGATTTTTAAACTCCATCATTCCTTCTGCATGTATTAGTCAACATTTTACTGGAAAACTCTTCCCTTCCTCCTTGCTTATTTACTTATGTCGATCTGATGCATAGACTCCTATTTTATTCAATGGGTTCTGATCGTTACTACCATTAATTTATTCTGATGCTCAGATATGGCCGGTGGGAGTTCCTTCAAGCTGGCTCCTGTGGCCTTTTGACTTAGCCTGTCATTCCTTGATCACAGTCTTATTTCTGGAACAAGATGTTCCAGGCTTACCCTGCCCCACCAGCCCGAACCCTGGGCTCAGCCGGTTCACTGAGTTCCCCCTTGCTTCTTTTTAGTGGGAAGTGATATTAGAACCCAAGATCTGGAAGTTTGGTGCGCTCAGGGTCACTGGGGTGTCATTGCTTGTGTCCAAAGTGGACAGGCTGGAGAAAATAGCCATTTCACGTCCTTGCCTGATGCCACCTTGGATGTGCGGCTCCTTTCCCTCGCCTTGGGAACCCCGGCTCCCGACAAGATCAATACATTTACTCCTTTGCTCAATTCTATAACACCCATAAACTTATTTTAGAATGACTACACCCCCTCATCATTATTAATAATAAATCTACTAACCTGTTAAGTCCAATTTAACTTTTCTTTGCAGTTCTTTTGATCCTTTTTGATTGGTGGTACTGCAAATACTGTAACTGAAAGTTTCTTGGATGTTTTCCTTTTCCAATTTCCTTCATACCAATTTGATAAGTGCATTTGTCTCTTTCCAATTCTGAAGTTTAAAAGATATCCTTGTCCTTGTTGGTTTCATTTTATTTTTTTAAATATGTAAAACATTTATCCTAAAAATATTTTTTTATATTTATTATTTTAATATATAAAATATTAACATGGAATCAGACACCAAAACTTTGCAAAAAGATGTACTTATAGACTCATTCTGGTTTATCTTTCCTGTATTTCTCTTTGCAAAAATAAAAAAAAGGAAGAAAATATATTTTCTTATGTTTTATTCTTTACTACACACAGATAATAAATATAAGATGACTTACAATATGTGCTTTTTTATTCATTTTTGTGTAATATCCTGGAGTTCCCTCCGAGTCTATCTCATTTTTGTAAATGTATTTAATATCCATTGTGCGACCATGCCATTGTTTCTTTAAACAACCATCTGGATTGACTTCATTAATTTGCAATTTCTTGACCATCCTGCCTTTATGCTGTTGTGAGTAAAGGCAAACACTTTTTTAAATGTTTAAGGGTTACATATATGTGTGTGTATGCCATGAACTTTTCATGCCTTCTGATCATTTTCCTATCAGATTTTGTTTACCTTTTTTCCTTCAAATTTAAGAAATTATTTATATATAGGAATATTAGCTCTTTATCTGTGTTATGTATTGCCAGTATTTTCTCCCTGTTTACCCTTTGTCTTTTGTCTTTGCCATGATTTTTGTATGCAAAAGTTTGAAAAAATATTAATGCATTTGAAATAGCAATCTTTTATTGCCTTTAAATTTTGAATCAGAATGTCTTCCTGTATACCGCTTTCCTACTAGCACTTACATAGTGTCAGTTTTTGTGGTTAGATTTCTGATCCATGTTGAATTTATGCTAGTGTGAGATGCGAAGCCAATTTACTTTATCCTAAAAGTCTCACCAGCTGTCCTAACATCAATTTAAAAAAAAAATCTACCTTTACTCCTATGATTTGAGGTACTACTTTATCATATCCTAAATTTCCATGTGTACTTGGATCAATTTCTAGATATTCTATTCTATTCCATTGTTTTTTGTTCATACATCAGTATCACACTGAAGTCCACTGTTAGAATGATAAAGGTTTTTTTAAATATTGTGATAAAATATACATAACATTTACCATCTTAACCATTTATAAGTATACAGTTCAGTGGCATTAAGTACATTTATATTGTACACCCACTTCCAGAGTTTCTTTGTCATCATAAACTGAACCTCTGCCCTGAACACTAACTCCCTATACCCCCTCTCCCAACTCCTGGCACCAACCAGTCTACTTTCTGTGTCTATGAATTTGATTATTTTAGGTGTGTCATATAAGAGGAATCATACGATACTAGTCTTTTGGAGTCTGCCTTATTTCACTTAGCATAATGTCTTCAAGGTTCATTCATGTTGTAGTACGTGTCAGAATTTCCTTTTTTAAGGCTGCATAGTATTCTATTGTATGGCTAGACCACATTTTGTTTATCCATTCATTCTTCCATGGACAGTTGGGTTACTCTCACCTTTTGGCTATTGTGAATAATGCTGCTAGAACATGGGGGTACAAATATCTGTTTGAGTCTGTTTTTTATTCTTTTGGGTGTATACCCAGAAGTGAAATTGCTGGGTCCATTGGTAATTTGGTGTTTCATTTTTTGAGGAACTGCCATGCTGTTTTCCTCAGTAGCTTTACCTTTTTCCATTCACACTAGCAATGCGCAAGGGTTCCAATTTTTCCTACATCTTTGTCAATACTTGTTTTCTGTTTTGTTTTTAAAATAGCTCTCTGAAGCACACTGTTAGAATGATAAAGGGTTTACAGTTTATTTTAATATTTGATAGGGATAGACTCCTGCATGCCTCTTCTTTTTTAGGGGTATCCTAGCTATTCGTTTTCCCCCAGGTTCATTTATTTACATATTGTCTATGATTATTTTCATGCTGAAACAACAGAGCGTGGTTCTGGGACAGAGACCATAGAGGCTGCAAAACCTTAAGTATCTGCTTTCTGGTTCTTCAGAGAAAAAGTTTGCTGAGTCCTGCTCTGAGACATGGTTCTTAGCTCTGCTCAGTAGAATCACCTGCAGTGTATCCTGTAAGATGCCTGGAGTCGATCTTTTTCTTTTTAAACAGCTTTATTGCCTATAAGTTACATACTAAATAGTTCACCATTTACAGTGCAAGATGGCTTTTGGCGCATTTACCGAGTTGTCCAATTATCTCCATAATCTAAATTTCCGAGCATTGCTATCATCCCAAAAGAAACCTGATACCCACTGGTGGCTATTTTGATTTCCCAAGATTTTATTCTGCAAGTTTTCAAACATAATGCAAAGTTGAAAGAATTTTACAAAAACAAAACAAAAGAAACAAAAAAGCAACCATTCAGATAGATACCCACTAGCTAGACTCAACCATTAAGATCTTTACATTTCTATCCATCCATCCATCAGTGTCTCTTATTTTCAGTGTGTTTCAAAGCCAAGTGTAAACCTCAGTGCTTCGCCCTAAGTGCTTCAGCATGCATATCACTAACAAGGGTTCATATTTGTTTGTAGTTTTTCCTCTTCTGGTGTAAAAGTTATGTAAAAGGTCATCTGCAAATCTGAGAGAGATGTTTGCTAAGTTTTGACAGTGCATCTCCCCATGTTACCCAAGTCCTCATCAAGATACAGACCATTACCGTCACCCCCACCCCAGTTCTTGCTCCTCTGCCCCGCAGAGGACCCAGGTGTCTTGAGTTTTTCTCACCTGAAGTCTATTGGGGTCGCTCTAGAATGTCCTGGACACCAGATCACACAGTGTGCAGCCCTTTGTGTCTGGTGTTTTTCACTCAGCATAATGCTTTTGAGATTCATCTATGGAGTTGCAAATATCAGTAATTTGTTCCTTTTTGTGTCTGAGTACTATTCTCCTAGCTATTGTTGCAGATGTATTTTCTTCACTGAGTTCTTTTTTTTTCTTTCTAATATTAGCTTTGTTGAGATACAATTCCCATACCATACAATTCACCTGTGCAAAATGTACAGTTCAGAAGGTTTTAGTAAGTTCACAGAGTTGCACAACCATTATACAACCAATTTTGGAAGATTTTCATCACCCTTCAAAAGAAATCCTGCATCCATTAGCAGTCACTCCCCAGTGCTCCTGCCCCAGTTTCCAGCAACCACTAATTCACTCTCTGTCTCTACAGATTTGTCTATTCTGGACATTTTGTATAAACGGACATTTCATATGATTATCTTCCTGAGTTCTTGTATTGTCTGTGTCCTGCCCTTTCTGTATCTTACCTCCTGTAGCCCACTTTGAGACCTAGGAGTGAGCTCCAACTTTTCTTTCCAATTTAAGGATGAGGAATCTTGAGTTAATTTGAGAGAGGGAAGCCAACCACCTTGCCCTAGGTCCTAAAGCTGCAGGATGGCAGGTCTGGGGACCATGAAGTTGGTGCTCTTCCTGTGGCCCAGGTTGCCCCAAAGAGTGCCACCCCCAGTCCTGTGGGCTTCCTCCAGGGGATGGGGTGCTTCCCAGGCATGTGGCTAAGCCCCCTCACAAGCTGAAGTGAGGCCCCCACCCCCGGCCACCCCCAGGTATATATGTTCCTGGTGAAGTGGCAGGACCTGTCGGAGAAGGTGGTCTACCGGCGGTTCACGGAGATCTACGAGTTCCATGTGAGTGCCTGGGGGTGGGGTAGGGAGGGGTCACCACGCCCGTCTTTGGCTGCCCTCTGGGGAGAAGAGAGGCCCAGGTGGGCCGCAGATCAAGGAACCTGGAACCTCCCACTACCCGCCCATAGTTAGAGTGGCCTCATTTTTTTTTTACTTTAAAAGACATTTTTACTTAAAGTATTTTTTATGGTGGTAAACTACACATAACATTAAGTTGTTCCATTTTAACCATTTAAGTGTACAATTCAGTGGCAATTCGATATTATGCACCCATCACCACCATCCATTTCCCAAATGTTTCCATCCTCTCCCCAGCAACTCCCGACCCATGAAACACGACCACTCTGAGGAGCCGTGCTGCTCTGTCCCTGCAGGGGGCGGCCTAGTCAGCGCCACCACTAAGCTGTCATCCCAGGATACTGCCCTTTAACTCACGGTCGCGGGCCTGATGACCCCCGGTGGATCAGGAGGAGGGCTGAGAATCCCGACACCCAAGAAACCGGGTTGTCTTGCCCTGCGGGTGCCTGCTGCCCACAAGGTTCATTCGAGAGAATCCCATAGGCTCTAAAACTCCATAGGGTCCCCCACTCCAGAGACTGTTTGACAAAACTGGTGTGATCATCGAGGGGCCAAGCTGGGCAGAGCTCCGCTGCTGGGTCCTGGTCTGAGACGGGGTTGGGTGGCTAGGGTGGGGGTCCAAAAAGTCAGTTAAGTCCTCAGACAGGGCCCTCCTTACCCAGGGAAGGGAGTCCTGGAACAATGCAGGTTTCTGCCCTTTTTTTGGGCGAGAAATTAAAAGCAAAATGCAGAGAAGACCTTACCCAGTCCTGCACAAGCAGCAGCCAGCATCATAATTGATGTCTCTGGGCCCTTTGCTACAGGGCTTTTTTAAGGTAGAGGAAATAAAACATTACAAAAGGTGTGAAAGGCTCCCTTCACCCCATACCCCGTGCCAGCTCCTACGCTGGGTGACTGACCACACATGGGCACACAGGCAGAACCTGAGAACGACACGCAGCGGCACCACAGCACAGCATGCATGTTCTGTCTTCCGTATAAAAGCCAGCAGCGTGCCCTTTGCTTCCTTCTCTGTTTTATTAACGTCACTAGGTTATGGTTTTGAGACCTTTGATATGTGTAAGGCTCCGTCTTTTCTCTTTAAACTGTTCTGCCTTATTTCATTGTAGGATGATCCCCTATTATTGATTAGGGGACTCATCCTTCATTCCACCACTATTTATCAACCACCTGCTAAGTTCAGGCAAGTTCTGCATGGTGGGCAGGAAACGCTGCTCCAAGGTGACAAGGGGATAAAGAGCAGTGCAAATCCTCCCCCTCCCTTGTAGGCCTGAAGGTCTAGTAGAGGAGTCAGGATAACAGAGAAACCCAAAATACCTAATTTATGTAGTATGTTATATGGTCATTAGAACTATAGAGAAAAAGGGGTGGGGAGGAGAGGGCTGGTAGGGAGGAACAGTCCTCAGGGAGAAGGCTTCACTGAAGGGGTGTCAGCTGAGCAGAGACTTGAAGAAGGAGAAGGAGAAAGAAAGAGCTCTATTGATATACATGGGGGAAGAATGGGAATAGCAAGTGCAAAGGCCCTGGGGCAGGAGTGGGCCTGGAGTATTACAGGGTGGCTGGAGCACAGCCAGCAAGGGGGACCGTGGTGGCAGAAGAGGTGAGTGAGACAGGCAGGGCAGTTGTGCAGGGCCTTGTAGACCAATGTGAGGTCTTTGGCTTCCATTCTGAGTGAACTGAGAGGCAGGAGGGCTCTGAGCAGAGGAGCGACAGGATCCAGTTCAGGTTGTAAGAGGCTCCCTCTGGGTGCTGGATTGAGAACAGACAAGGGTGGAAGGGCGGAGTGACATCAGAAGGTGGTGGTGATAATCCAAGTCCAGGGGAGGCAGTGTGCAGAGCAGAAGGGTCGGATTCTGGACAGAGCCAAAAAGGTTTGCTGGTGGCTTGGATATGAGGTGGGAGAGAGAGAGAGGAATCAAGGATGCCACCAGAAGTTTCTAGCCCAAGCAATAATTCTGTGGAAATTTTTACAGCTTTGTAATAAGGAATATTCCTTCATGTCTTCTTTCTGTCTAGAAAACCTTAAAGGAACTGTTTCCTATAGAGGCAGGGGACATCAATGCAGAGAACAGGATTATCCCCCACCTGCCAGGTGAGAAGTGGGGCTGAGTCACCCGGGCTGGGTCACCTCCGCCTGTCCCCCAGCTGCCCCCTCTATCCCGCCCCTCTCTGGCTTGATCTCATGAATGTGTTCACTGGCTCTCTGGTGCCCTTCCCTGGTCCGGCCAGCCCCGCGGTGGTTTGATGGGCAGCGGGCCGCCGAGAGCCGCCAGGGCACCCTCACTGAATACTGCAGCACCCTCATGGGCCTGCCCGCCAAGATCTCCCGTTGCCCCCATGTGCTCAACTTCTTCAAGGTGCGCCCTGACGACCTCCAGCTCCCCAGCGACAGCCAGTGAGTGGCTTCCTCATCCTGTCCCCCGGGGAAGGAGAGGGAAGGGGGTGAGCCCAGCCTGGAGGGGGCCGGGAACTTCCCACGTTACAGACCAGGGGGACTGAAGCTCCGAGAGGGAAGCAGCTTGCTTAAAGAGAGCCGCAGAGAAAAGAAGGCAGGATTACAACCTTGGCCCATGTGACCTGGAGCCATCCAGCATCTCCACCTGGACCCCCTGAGCCTCACGGTGCTGGGAGAGGCATTCTGGGCTGGGGGGTTTGAAGGCCTAGGTCCTCATCCTGACTCTGTGACTGCCTGGCCCTGGGACCTAGAGCCTTCTGAAAGCAGTTTCCCCACTGCAACAGGGTGGTGGAGGCTGGGGCAGCAGGGGGGCCATGGAGAAAGCTTACACACTGTGAAGTGCAGAGCCCCGAGAGAATGTGGAAGTCAGGGTCTCTGTTCATTGCTGAGCAGTCTCAGGCCACTGCCTCCCCTTTGTTACCCCACTTTCTGCCTGTCCCTACCTGGGGGTCTCCTGTACTCTAGGGCTTGCATGGATGGCATGTGAGAGGCTGTTGGAGGTCTCAGGAATGTGTCTCCTGCTCCAGGCAGGCTGGAAGATCCCCTTCTCTGGTCACTGTGTGCATGGGGAGGTCTGGAGGACAGGGCTGTCCTAGACAGACAGACAGCACCGCTCCAGCTGGTGCTCACTGACCCCTGAAGGCACCCCTGGTCCAGGACAGCGCAGCTTGTATCAGCCCCAGCGGTGGGAGGCCCCCACCCTGCTGGCTGTTCTCCAGGGCCTTTCCCGACAGGTGCATGGCCACAGGAGGGCCCTTACTCTCTTCAGCAGTTGGGTGCCTTCTCCTTTGGGCCTGCAGGGGGCTGGGGCCCCTCCTCAGGCTGCCCAGCAGGCGCCCCGTCCTTCCCAAAGCCCTTGCCTCACTGGTCTCTGTGCCACACACTCTCTCTGTGGTAGCCCCCAGCTCCCAGCTCCCTTTTTCTGTTGGGGACTCTTCTGCAGGTCTACCCAGAGCCTCCCCTCCCCCAGCGGGAAGCTGAGTGTCTGATACTCAGGCTGTTGTCCCCTGCAGGGTGAAAAAGCCCGAGACATACCTGGTGTCCAAGGATGGCAAGAACAGCATTGCAGGTAAGGGGCGGGGCAGCCATGTGCAGTCCACCCCACAGGTACTGAGACACGTCAGGGACCCTGAGCTTGGGGTGAGCAGGAGGCGAGAGCAGCTTGGAAGGGTCTTGGTGGCTGCACTGAAGAGCTGGGGTCTGGCAGTCCCTGGACAGTGATGGGTGCTCCTGGGAGCTCTCCTCCATGGCTGCACAGACCCAGGCTCCCAATGGCCTGTGGACCTTATGGCCAAATGATGAGCAGGTCTGGGGACAAAGATTCAAGGCTGACTTGGATGTGACAGTATCTACTTTTTATTGCATGATAATTGTTAATGATACTACCTAACACTTACCAAGCACTGACTCTGTGCCAGGCACTATTTTAAGTGGTTTCCATGTATTCACTCATGTGATCACCACTATATCAAACTGAAATAGGTACCACAGTGCTATTATCCCCATTTTATAGCTGGACACACTGAGGCATGATTCAAGTTGCCACTCTAGTCAGGGGTCACACAGCTACTAAATGTGGAGCAGGATTTCAACCAGGGATGCCTGGCCAAGTACTCTGGGCCACTCAAAATGTGGTCCAGGGACCAGCAGCGTCCGAGTCTGCTTGGGCTACCCCAAGTCCAAGATCCTGGTGTGGGCAGGGCTGCTTTCTCTGGAGGCCTCGCTCCTTGGCCTGCAGACGGCCCCCTTCACACTGTCCCCACGTGGCCTTTCCTCTGTGCACACCCTCCTGGTGTTTCTTCCTCTTATTATAAGCAGTCCTAGTGTGTCAGGGCCCCATGCCTATGACCTCATGTAACATTAATCATCTCCTTAAAGGCCCTGTCTCCAAATAAATTCTAAGGTACTGGGGGTTAGGGCTTCAACATATGAATTTTGGTGGGGACACGATTCAGCCCATAACACACAGCAATATCATCACCTGAGGGCTGGTTAGAAATGCAGGCTCAGTCCCACTGCAGACCTACAGATCAGAACCTGCGCTCTGGCAAGATCCCTGGGGGCTTTGCGTGCACATTAAAGTTGAAAAGGGCTGCTTGCTACTCTCATCAAACAAGAACAAGGATGTGTAAAAAGGATCAGTAGTGTCTGGAACCTGTTAGGCTCTTGATACATGCTGGGCTGAAGATTAGCTTGTCTGCTGCTTTCCAGTTTGCAGGTGTCTCCACATCTGGTGTAACTGGAGCTGATGCCAGTGCCAGTTCTGGTGGCCTACACAGGGGACCTTGGGGGGAGCCAGGAGGAGGCAGCCTACCCCTGAGGTGCCCCTCACTCTGTCCTCCCTCTGCCCAGACATCACAGGGCCCATCATCCTGCAGACATACCGTGCCATCGCCGACTACGCAAAGACCTCGGGCTCTGAGATGGCTCTGGCCTCTGGCGACGTGGTGGAGGTCGTGGAGAAGAACGAGAGTGGTCAGCCTCCCCCTTGCCTGGGCCCACAGCCACAAGCCCCCTACCAAGGGTCTGCCCCTGGCAGCCTCCGGCTGCCTCCCAGTTTAGTCCGCTGGGGAGATCTGACTCCTTCAGGGGTCTGGGCTGTCCTCCCGATGCCGCGGGTCACGCTCTGCCTGAGTGTGCGCTGCGGGGCTGGCTGTGGGTATCTGCCTATATTCCCTGCCACAGCTGTGCATCTCTGGGGGTGGTTTCCAGGTCGGCTGGCACACCTTTCAGCAGTGTGTGTGTGAAGTGGGCTCTGAGCGACAGCTCTGTGACCCTGTGTGCTTGTGTGATTTGGGGGTGGTGTGTGGCGAAGGTGACATTTTTAAATCTAAATGTTGGATGTCTGTGTGTCTGTGTCTAAATGCCCTCCCACCCCAGCGACTGAGGGAGGCTGCCAGGCCTGCATAGACTTAACCACTCATTCCCCTGGCACAGGCTGGTGGTTCTGCCAAATGAAGGCAAAGCGTGGCTGGATACCAGCATCCTACTTGGAGCCCCTGGATGGTCCTGATGAGGCGGAGGACCCAGAGCCCAACTATGCAGGTGCCCTGTCCTCTGCGGTGTATGGTGTGGGAGAAAGGGGCAGCACAGGCCCGGGGATACTGAGAACTTGGAAGGGACTGCTTGGGTGGGCCATGATTATGGGCTGGGCAGAGGGGGAGTCAGGACTGAGTCCCTGTAGTCTGACTGGGAGAACCTGGTGGTAATGCCTTTGGTTAGGACAGGGAACCAGGAGGTGCAGTAGAGGAGGGAGTGATGAGTACAGCATGGGACACGGGGTGGCTGTAGGCCTGGGGCCAGGTCCAGCAGGAATCAGAGTGATAAGCAGACCCGGGGGCAGGACGGAGTGCTTCCTGGAGGTGGGAGCATAATGGCTGACTGGGAGGGGGAAACTGGCAGCCCTGGGCTGCATGGCACCCATGTGGAGTTTGAAAAAAAATTAGAATTGCTTGCCTATATTTTAAAATGAAGAGATTTGACAGTTTATGTAGGTTATGGCTCCTCTTTATAAACTGAGAAAGATGTGATCCTGGGCCTGCAGCCTCACATGCCCACAGGTGGCAGGACTCTCATGGCTCAGGTGCCAAGTGGACTGGTGCTCCTCCCCCGAAATCCCACTTGGCTTCTCCTTCTTAGGCACCTGGCCCCACCTCTGCAGGCAGGGCTACTCCTGGCCCCTGGTGTGGATGGTGTTGGGTAGGAGTGGGCAAGTGCCCTGGGTAGAGTGGACAGAGGGCAGAAGTCCAGGGTGAGCCCGTGAGTGAGTGGGAGGGGCCTGCAGAGGGAGATCAAAGAGCAAGGGGGTGGGGTGGTGGGAGGAGCAAGGGGAGGGGTCCTTCTGGTTTCCAGCTGGAGGAAGTCCCAGGCCCAGAGAGGAGAGAGTGCATGGCCAGCCCTGCACAGGGCGGATCCTCACACGCTGTCCCTCCCCTCACTATGCCCCAGGTGAGCCCTACGTTGCAATCAAAGCCTACACCGCTTTGTTGGAGGATGAGGTGTCCCTGCAGGAGGGTGAAACTGTGGAGGTCATCCATAAGCTCCTGGACGGCTGGTGGGTCATCAGGTAGGAGGACCCCCACACACATACTGCACCCACCCAGAGTGTCAGCTCTGGCTTGGGGCAGAGCCTGGCAGGCTCCGTGGTGACTTGGCTGTGTGACTGTAGGTAAGCCACTGCCTCTCTCTGGGCTGTTTCCATTTTATTTTCTTCCTGGTCCTGGGGAAAACAGTATCCCAGTGTTGCAGAGCCATTTCTCTAGGGCCACTGGGTCTCCCAGGTCCTTGGACACACTTTCAGAGCCCTGAGTCACAGGGTCAGTCCATGACCCCAGTGAGCTTCTGGCCATAACACCCACCGTCAGCATGGCCCTGGGCTGCAGGCTTTGAGGAAGGGCTTCACAACCTCTTAGAGCCACACTCAGTTAACTCCTATCATGCACCCCTGAGAATCTGCTTGTGATTCTCCCACCAGCTAAGAAGATTTAGAGTTTTACTGAGTGAATTTTGTATTATGCAAAGTTTTTTTCACTCCCAAATATAGTAGTGAGAATGGAAAAGAAAAATCTTTTCAACAAACCATCCTGGAACAACGGGATGCCCATATGTAAAAAAACAAACCTATGCCTCTACCTTGCACCATACACATTTACTTGGGAAGGACCACAGGTTTTATCAAGCACAAAACCCCAAACTAAAAAGCTTTTGGAAGAAATAGGAGGACATGGTGATTTGGAGGTAGGCAAAGTTTTCTTAGGACACAGAAACCAATGATCATAAGAGAAAAAACTGACAAATACCATATTGCAGATATATTATGGCAAACACATGTCCGTGGGGGAGATTTGGATCTGCTAACATCGTCCCCCTCTACTGTCATACCCGGGAGGGCCTGTGTTGCACAAATGAGGTAACAAGGACAGAGGGCGGGGACTGGTGGCCTTGACGCCAGCTGTTTAGAGGGAACGCTGACTAGCTACATGTAAGGCCTGTACTCCTTCCATGGCTGCGCGGGCTTCAAGCGCTGCCTGTTGCAGGAAAGAAGACATCACGGGCTACTTCCCGTCCATGTACCTGCAGAAGTCGGGGCAGGACATAGCCGAGGCCCAACGCCAGATCAAGAGACGAGGAGCACCGCCGCGCAGGTGAATGAGGGTCCTCGGGGCGGGGCGGGGCAGAGGGCAGAGTGTCCCGCTGTCGGTCCAGGCCCTGCACTGGCAGTGCTGGAGCAGGGGAGACCGGGCAGGGGCTCCCAGCCTGGCGCAGCACCTTCACCGGCCGAGGCTGCCCGTGCCCTCCCGCACAGCGGGGCTGGCAGAGGGCGGTCGGAAGCAAGGTGTGAGGTGGAGGTGCTGCGCCTGGGCTCTGCGGCGGGGATCCGCGTCGGTGAACGGGAGTCGCATTCCGGCCCCGCCCAGTCCCTGCCGCTACCCACTTTCTCGGGCCAGTCGATGGAGCCCAGGGGTAGCCAGGCGAGGCTCAGAGGGCAGGGACGCGGATGCGGCGGGGACGCCGGCGGCTGACCAACGCCCCGTCCCGCTGGCCCCAGGTCGTCCATCCGCAACGCGCGCAGCATCCACCAGCGGTCGCGGAATCGCCTCAGCCAGGACACCTACCGGCGCAACAGCGTCCGCTACCTGCAGCAGCGCCGCCGCCTGGGGCAGCCGGGGCCGCAGAACCCAGGGAGCCTGAGGCGTGAGTGCCGCGTGGGCGGGGCCACAGCGCTGCGGGCCTGGGGCGCGGCTGGAGGGTGTGTGGGCCGGGGTCGGGGCGGGGGGGAGTCACTGGGCCGGTGGTCTGCCGACAGAAGAGGAGCCGCAGACCCAAAGCCCGAAGCCGCAGCCAGCGGTACCCCCTCGGCCCAGCGCAGACCTCATCCTTCACCGTTGCAGCGAGAGCACCAAGCGGAAGCTGGCATCCTCCGTCTGAACCCGGGCTGGCGCCCTGGCCCCTCCGCCCTCTCGCGCCGCCTTCTGCCCCGAACCCTGTAGATACGTGTAAAGAGACTGAGGTGTGGACACAGAGGGCAGCCCGGGTCCTGCCCCAACCTAGCTGTTCCCTGCCCTCAATAAATGTTGCTTGGAGTGGGCATAGTCTCTGCAGGGATGCGGGGCGGGCTGTGCTGCCCTTGAGGGTATTTCTAGAATGAGGACGGAGGTGTGTGAGCTCCGCTGGGGGAAAATTGCAAGAACCAAGGTCCGGTTGCATACTGACCTGGTCTTGACCAAGACCAAGTTTGCACAAGGCCAAGTGCAAGAGGAACCCGCATGCCCTGCTGGCTGTTTGGACAGAAACTGCTTGAATTCTGGGCCCACTGTAGAAGAGCCCTGAAGAAGAGTGGAGACAGGGCACAGTCAGGGCGGTAACCTTGACTGTGTGCTCCAGTTGACAAAAAAAAATTGTAACTTAGGTATTAGGGAGGGGCACCTCTGATTATTCACTGAGAGCCTGCTCAGCCCAGAGGCTGTACCAGCAAGCGGTTATTCACTGATGAACAGAGCATCACCGTTTAGCCCAACACTGCAGCCAGCCCAAGGCCTCCGAGTCTTTGCTGGCAGGGCTTTCCCAAAGAGTTGATTCAAAGGAAAATAGCCCGTGAATGGTCCAGTCAACAGAAGGCCACCCAGCCTGACCCCTGCTGTGCCCTCACCTTTCCCCAACGGGCTAACCACCAGGGAGCAACACATGGCAGATGTGCTGAGGGTGCATGACAGACATCTGCTAGGTCCCCATATCAGGCACAGTGACCTTAGAAGAGGAAGAACATGGACTCTGGGGTCACAGAGACCGGGGTTTGAACCCTGACTCCTCCTCCACTGGTGGTGTGGCACCAGGCAGGCCATTAATCACTGAGCCCCAGTTGCCTGTGTATGTCCTGTAGGACTGGCAGGGCCACACCTCTGATTTGGTGTCAACAGCTGCTTGGGTACACCAGGAACTGGTCCCCACAGCTCCCATTGGAAACCAGACTGTCCAGTGTCCCTTCCCCAAGAGGAGTCTTCGAGCCAAGCAGCCCAGCTGCCCCTGCAGCCGGCCTCCCGAGGGCAGGAAGTGGGTCGCTTCCCCTGAAGACACGCACCCAGGCTCCAGCCAGGCCCGGTGCCTTATGCAGCTAACCATCTGGAGGCTGGTCTCTCCCTCCCACAGCCTGTACCATTTTTATCCAGGCCTTTCTCTCCATTGTTTCCCGAATGGGTCATCAGGTCCAGAGCCCCAGCTTTTTTGTACCCTAGTCAGATTTAATTCCTCCAATCCCTAAAGTACTCACAATTTTGGATATAATTCCAGTGACCGATAGAGATTAACACACACACACACACACACACACACACACACACACACACAAAACATATGCTTTCAAATATATATGTATATGCTTTCAAATGGTAACCCTCCAAGGGAAAAATGCTATAAAGGAAAGAACATTAATTACTTGGCCAACTGGCAAAACTGGAGTCCGAATGGTAAACTAGATAAAAGTACTGCATCCATGTTCCACTTGGCTGGAGTTGGTAACTAAACTATGGTTAATTAAGAGAAAGTCCCTATTCTTAGAAAATAGTTCCTAAAGGATTAGGGTAAATGATGTAGGTAACTTTATCTCAAATGACTCAGAAAAAAAATTATGCACATACATTTATACACACATTACAGACACAGACATTCATTTATGCACACTTACAGGCAGTGCTGTACACCACACACACAAAAGGGAGAGAAAGCAAATGATAAAAGATACAATGTTAAGATGAGAATCTAGCAAAAGAACATCTAAGTGTTCTTCACACTGTTTTCATTTCTGCAACTTCTGTATAAATTTGAAACGATTTCAAAATAAGTTAAAAAAAAAAAAGGCAACCTCCAAACCTCACCTTACTTTGCCTTTGAAAGCCTAGGTTATTTATTTTGGGTTCCCCATTTTCAGCCCTACCTTTCTGGATTCGTGTGGAGGCGCAGAGATAGATAATACTGGAACACTATGGTATGTGAATACACCTCCAGCTGATTTTCCTTGAGCTTGGAAACATGTTAGATCATAAGGGATACCATACACAAGGGGGGAGATATACATGTGTGGAGATGTGCCCTTCAATGATTACACACATCCTTCCTACCCCACTGATTTAAACTTCAAGATGCCAGCCCCAGTGCCTACTGGGGTCCAGCAAGTATGTGACTGAATGAAATAGGGGAGACATAAGAAAATTCAACTACTAGAAATACAATAAAACTTTCTTGATTTTTACTGGACTACAGTGAAGCATAAAATGTCATACAAACAGGTGTGATACTGTAAAGTATATTTCTGAGTCAAAGTGGAAAAAACTGGACTCTGAAACACAGAAATGTTTAAGAATTCGTTTTCTTGTCTCACAATCCCTGGGGCCTGGAGGGGTCTGGTCTTATGCCCAATGGGCATGGCTGGTCTTGCTCAGGTCCCAATGTGAAGCATGGAATCCCACTGGGAGTCCTTTAACTGGGAGCAGTATTTAGTTTTACTCAGTTTCATAATGGAAAACAGCTGTTCACAAATGTAGGTGCTCCCAAACATAGAGAGCATCTTTGCACAGTGGTGTCTGTATTTCGGGTAGCTGCTCCAGAGGTACTTATAGAACTCTGGGATTCCGACCTTGTCGTATTTAGTCTTCAGTACCGTGTTGCACTGCAGATCGATAACCTCCATCTGAAGTGCTTCCTGTACACTCTCGATCTTCATGGAGAAAGGAGAGCTGAACAGGGTCAGTTCGCTTTCATAGAGTTTGAAATCGGACAACCTCTTCTGGAATTCAGTCTTTAATTCTGCAATTTTGGGAATGTATATCAGGCCATCACTTTCATTTCTGGAAACTGATTTCAGCGTGGGGAAGTGGGCCAGATTATTCCTGGCCAAGTGAGTCTCCCAAAGGCACAGTTTGGCTAGGAAGGCCCGAATCAAGTCGTACATTTGCGTAACGATTTGTGAGTGACCTTGAAGAGAGATGTTCAAAGTGTTGAGATGCATTGTCATGTCCACCAGAAAGGCCAAGTCCTTGATCCAATCTTGAGAGCTCAGTTGAGGAAGGGGCTTTCCTCTGGATGACATGAAGGAATCAATTTCTTCCAACGATTCAAAAAATCTCTTCAGCACCAGCCCACGACTGAGCCACTTGATCTCTGTGTAGTACAGAAGGCTGCCATACTGGCTGTCCAGTTCATAAAGCAGAGTTGTGAACTCACTGTGGTTCAGTCCACGGGAGCATATCCAGTTCACGGAGTTAATGACCACATTCATGACATGGTCCATCTTTAACTTTTGAGTGCAAAGTGACTCTGGGTGAATGATGCAACAAACAGACTTCAGATCTGAGCCCTTGCAAGCCAGTGCCACCTTGGCCTTCAGTTTTGTAACAAGTCCGTCCTTTGCATCTACCATCGCAGGGGTGCCAGTCGAGGCCACACTTACTAATTTTGACCAGTCAATAGTAAACTTTTTAAGGCTTTTCTCAACACGCAAAAACACCTCATTTCCAGATTTGGTACCTGTCATGGGCACTGTATCCAAAAGTTCTTCTGACACATCAAAATTCTCATCGACGCCCCGGATGAAGATGGCCAACTGGGTGGTATTATTTATATCTGTGATCTCATCGATTGCAATAGAATATGCCACAAATGATCTGATTTTTTCACGTAATTTCTCCCATAAGTTCCCAGCTACATCTTCTACAGGCTGCACGGCAGCATTTTCATTTGGACTCGCATTTGCAAACACTGGTTTTGGCTCAGGACACACAATTCCTGATGATCCTAAGAGGTATTTCCTGAGGCCTTTTTTCAGCTCTTGAAGCTTCTCATCACGCATCTTCTCGGTGTACTGGTCATAGTGTTTACTGTGGTTGGTCTGATAATGGCGTCTCAGATTGTATTCTTTTGACACAGACATGCTCTGCTTGCATATTAAACATGTAGGAATATTCTGCACTTCCACGAAGAAATATGCTCTCTCCCACTTTTCTTGAAATACACGGCCCTCTTGGTCTATCTTTCTTTTTCCCACTTTTGAGAAAAACATGGAGACCAGAGATATTTCACTTTTCCCTTACCTCTACTATCAGAGAAACAACAGCACAAGCATGACCACAAGCATGAGAACAAGTGGCTGGGAGTTAACTGGAGAGGACCCCACCCCTGCAGAGAGGGACGGCTGACCCTCAGCTCCCGCAAACTGCTGCTAGAGGCAACATGGGCCCGCTGCGGCCGGATCTTCAGATTTCTAAAGAAAACCTGGAAGCCGACTTTCATGAAAAAGTCTCTGGCTTTTCAATGTTGGCTACTAATTCCCATTTTTAAAAGGCATATAAGCCAAACAAAAGACATCTTTGGTGAGGTTCAGCAGGTACCTATGTTTGCCACATCTGGTTTAAACAGGAATGACTGGAAAGTATATTTGCATTTTAATATATATGTTTTTTCATTTGAATCTCAAGAGAGTTTTGAAAGGACAGAGATGGGAGTGAGCACAGGAGGCATATGATTTATCTGCTGTTTGAATCACAGAAGACACTGGTGATAGACACATAACTACTTGTTTTAAATTTAACAAATCTGGCCACAGTGCAGGTAAGCTTTACTTCGAGAGGGCACAAATATAAGAATTGACTTTAAGGACTGTAAACAGAGAAAGGTCAGCATAGTGGCTGCCCTATAGAGCCGGGGGGTGGGAACAAGAAATAACTGCAAATGGATATGAGGGATCTTTTTGGGGGTGATGGAAATGTTCTAATATTGGGTGGTGGTGATAGTTGCACAACTCTGTAGATGTACTAAAAATCATTGAATTGTGTATACTTTACACAAGTGAATTTTATCATATGTAAGTTATGCCTCAATAAAGCTATTAAAAATATAAAAAATCATTCAGCAACCAGAGGATTTTTGGAGTCATATTTGAGCATTTAAAAAAAGAATAGTTTTCAAACTTTAAATGAGGAGGTTCCCTAATGATTCAAATTCCTGAGAACATCTCTACACTTTCTGCTTTATGCGCCCTGCAGGATACTGACTTGCTTTCAAGCATTCCAGGGAGACAATCAAATAACAAGCAGAGTGGTGGTGGTGGGGCACTGCTCAGCTGGAACGGATGTTCACCTCAAAATCAAAGGGGGCTCTGGGAGCCCCTTTGTGTCAGGCAGCATCCTTTTGAGTTCTGAACTGTGGGGAGGTCGTAATGGGGGGTGCCCAGGGGGTGGGCCTGCGGTGGCCAGGCAGGCACTTTTTACCAGCTGAGACAGAGTTAGCTCAGTATGCTGATGCTAGCCCCTGCCACAAAGGGTTCTCAAACAAGAGTGCTATGTCTCCCATCCCACACAAGCAGTCTGATGAAGAACAAGCTCCATCCAACTGTTGTATGAGAAAAAACACCTGGCTAATAAAAGCCAAGCAACAGAATTAAAGGATATCATAACAAGCAGGAAAAATAAAATGCACGTAAGAGCGGGACACTTTGCTCTGAAACCCAAGAAGCAAGGGTCCCTTGGTGAGCACCGGCTGAGACCCTGAGCACGGCACAGCAGGCACTGGATGGATCTTACCCCCCCAAATACTCACCATTGCTGAGCTCAAGGCCTGGAAGTGGTCTGAAGAGAAAGAGACATTGGTGAATGCAACAAAGTTCATTTTTCCTCTTTTCCACTTTAATTTGACAAACTTTTGTGAGTGTCAACTCTATGCTAGGTGCAGTGAGAGATAAAACGGAGACAGGCTGCCCATGATCACCAAGAAACAGGAACATAGACACACAGCTTGCAAAAGCAGAATACGATAAAATGAGTATGAGGGACAGCAAGTTACTGCAGGGATGCACCGCCCATCTCCTGGGGTAAAAATCCCTGGGCTGCCGCTTGTCCACCCTGGGCAAGTTGCAAAATTCAGATTCCTTCTCATGACCAAGTGGGGGACTCTCGCTTACCTAATGACTGTGAATTTGATAAATTCTGCGGCGTCCAAGATCCTTCTCATGGAGCTGATTTCCAGGTAACCGGGGGCTTTGAATACCACCCCTGGGGGCATGCCATCAATGACCACACAGCCAGGGTTGAATGTGATTTTCCTGTAAGGAACTTTCACAGGGAAATCCACTCCAATTGCTTCGCCTGTGTTGAGACAAAGAGCAAGTAAAACCAGTTAAGTTGTCACTTACTTTTCCCAAACCATGCTTTAAAAATCAATCACGCCCAGTGACAACACTGGTGATCAGCCATTAGGACTTTATTTCCCAGTGGTACTGTGATATACGATTAACCTCACTGATTTTGAAATTGGCAGTGAGTTGTAAAACAGCCTCAGTTTCTCTATCTGTTAAATAAAATAGGGATTATCATAGTGTCTACTTGAAAAAGTTTCTTGTGAGGGTTAAATGATTAATCACATGTCAAGTGCTAAGAACAATGCTCAGTCATGGTAAGAACTCAGTAAATCAAAAATACCTATTATTATTATTATTGTAATTATTGTTTCCATGTAAAAGCTCTTCAGTAAACATATATGGTAATTTTGATCATACCTCCTTCACAGAAAGATCTATTTCTTAGATAAAATATTCAATTAAAAGGAAATATTTCAAATATATTAATTTTGGATACTTAATGATTTGAAAACTTACCAAACTTTCTGCTAAAGAGGTCATTGACTTGTTCTCTTAGTTGTTTTATCTTTTCAATGCTTGATAATCTTTCCTTCTCATTATCTAAAAATAATGAAACAAACAAGCAAACTAGGATTATTAAGATGTTTGCCCCCAAGAAAGCTGTTGGAGGAAATGGCTGAGAGCACATGAGAAAGCAGTTTACCTGGGTAATCATTCAGCTTAGTTTTAGCAATAGTTTAGGCATTTTGGGACTTTGTAAATGGAAGCCATTATGATGACAGAGAACTTTTCAAGCTATAGTTCTATAATCACAGTACAAACTACTTTAGGGAACACTTTCAATATCATGCAAGACAAAGATGTCTACTTTCAGCTCTGTTTTTCAACATTATAATAGAAATCCCAGCCAATGCAATAAGAGAAGTAGAAGGAATAAAATGTGCTAGAACGGAATCTTCCCAAAGCTTAACATTTTTATTCTGTTTAATTTTGAATTACTAAAGCAATTACATGGTTCAAAATGCCAAGATGTAAAATAGCACACATGGAAACATCTCTGTTTCATTCCCTATCTTAGCTCTGTTTCCTTTCTTGGAAGAGCTATATTATTAGATTCTTTTGTGTCTCTCCAGATGTATTGTACATACACATATTCACAAAGGAAGATTACTTGATGGGCAGCAAATAACTTTCACATCTGTGGTCAATTCCAATTCAACAGTAGCTGGTACTTAGAGTTATCTGTCCTGAAGTCTATTTTCCAGGTAATGCCAGGGCACAGCTATGAGAAGGAATGTATCTGATTAACAATGTCTGACATAAGCAAGATATTCAGTGTGTTGCAGATCTGTAGCACATTCATTCCTTAGTTGACAGGGTGAACTAAGCAAAAAATAACAGCCCTTAAGAGACTAACCCATGTCATAAAATGGTTAAAACATAACAAAAGGAAAAATATAAATTATGACAAAGTCAGATAAACTTCCATACCTGGAATTGTTACCTGAACGATGTTAAGATCATCAACACCTACTGCAGTAACATGGGGTGAATTTCTGCTTCCTTAAAACAGAAATTAAAATTCAGAATTTAAAGAAAATTAGGTAATTCTCCTCTAAAAATGTCAAAGTGCCACTCTGATCAGAAGCCCAGACTGAATTTTTAAAGCTTTAGAAAACAGCTGCAGGATACCAGGTGGCTGGGAATTGATATTTGAGTCTCTGAAGTTTAATGTTGATGTCAAAGGGGAAAGGGCCCAGTAGGTTTTATGTAGTCCATTGCCCCTAAATACTTCAGTCAGCCTATTTGATTTTTTAAAAGGGTGCTTAAAAATGTATTTCCTTTGTTGTTATTCTCCATTTAAAGAGGTGGTGGGAGGGGGAGGTGGGGATAAGACATAGAAATGTGTCCAAGAGGACACTTAAGAAGCAGACAACCTATGAAAAATGATTTAACAGACATAGTCAAGGAAAGGCTCAGACAGAGTTAAAGAGTAAATGTGAGAAACAGAAAGGAGCCTGATGAGCCCCTTCTGAGGACCTCACAGCTCCGGCCCATGTGCTCTGTGAAAGCCTGGCCATTCGGGGCTCTGAGATTCTGCATCTAAGAGCAAGGCCTCAAAGCGGGGCATGATGAGCCACACTTTTGTCAAGAAAAGCCCTCAGGTTTTCCCCAGTGTCCATGCTGCTTCAAACACAGAATCTTTGGTGGAAATATGGGAAAGTTTGCTGCTCATGACTTCAAAATTACATATTTTTCTGATAAATCTAATAAATCCTGGAAAGTCTGATCCCTAATCAGGTTCAACACTAAGAGATCACTGAAATCACTGTGAGGCTCCAGCATCACCCTGAGGTAAGAAGAATCTTTCAGGGCACCTAACACTGCTGTGCCTCTAAAAAACCCAGAACCAATTCAGGCCATCAGAAGAGCTGAGGTAGCGCCAGAAAATAAGGCATTATGCTCTGATAAAGAGCTAACGTTTTATCATTAAAACTGACTCCTCAAAGTATAAAACTCCACCATAAAATACACTATGCAAAATCCAATTAAAATTAATGCATAAATTGGCAGTTAATCCATCTTAGGGACCGTGACATTGAGAATAATGGGTGGCCCATTTCATGACTGCATCTAAGTCTAAATTCTTTTTCAATGCTCACTTCACATAAAGGATGACCCTGTTTGGAAATGACTGCTCAGGTACCTTATAATTTAAAACTGCTCATTCGGCTCCATATTCTAGGATCCATCACAGAACTCCTTGTCAGATACATACACATGGACTTCCAAATGTTATGGTTCTTTCTAGATGTTCGTTAGTGGCTAAATTACTTACCAAATAATCTATGACTAATTCTTTTTTATTTTTTATTTTTATTTTGATATCGTTAATGTACAATTAACGGGGGGAGTACCCATAGGAACCTCCATTATGGGTACTAGGCTCCCCTCATTATTAAGTTCCCCCCACATACCCCATAACAGTCACTGACTTGTATGACTAATTCTTAAAAAAACTGTTCTCCAGAACAAAAGGGTGACTTGGCCTCCCCTCCCTGTACCATTGTGATGCCCCACAAGACAACAGACCAGAGGCCACTTTGAGGATGTTTCCATCACCTGCATTGAAACCACTGTGGGACTTGGATTCTATCATGGGATTTTTCTCTTTATACACACACACACACACACACACACACACACACACACACAC